AGCAGAGTTGCACTGGGACATGTTTCCGTGCTCACAGCGGAATGTCTGGCAGCATCTTTGCGCAACAAACTGGCCAGTCATAGTGCTGTGCTCAGGCTCAAGGGTTTTAATTCAAGTGGGGCCGAGATCAATGAGCTTTCACATTTGGGGGAGTTTGCGTTGGTGAGGACACCGCAAGAAGACGGGGTAAATAGGGAAGGGGATGGGCATATGCGCAAAAATCTGGCCCTGGTCCAGAAGAACACTAAGCAATGTACTGCAGTGGAGAGCGCGGTGCACCTCGGGGATCACAGCAAATTGGTCAGCTTTGTTTTGTTATCGATTGGTCATGTTGCTCATGCTCCCTAAATATCAGCCTGCACTGGAGAGACTAGCATGGCACAGAAAATATCATAAATATGTGATGAACACTGCAGTACCTAAATCACTCCATATCGCAAGATTTGTGCATCTGCATTCACGGGTTGAGCTAATATCATTCTGAAAATCAGTCTTTATTTTTCTTGTAAGACTTTTACTTCTCTTTATATTTGGGGTCTCCAATGATGAATATGTAAAAATAATATTAATTTAGAAAATTATCTATTTTACCAAAAAGCCATGCACTTTTCTGAAATGTGACCACAATTCATTTTAATTACATTTTTATTTAAGTCAGTCTGACCCCAGCAAAACACATTGTAGATAACTAGCTAACGAACTAACTATAAATAAAAGGCTCCAGCATCCCTGGAACCCTATAGGACAAGTGATTGAGAATATTTTATCCAATCAATAAATATTCAGAAAAAAAGGTCCGTTCTTGTAAGATTAGGAAAATTCCTTGAGTATCATACTGATGCTAACTAATAAATGGGCCTTAAGATTTCTCTTGATATTTGGGATCTTCAATGATGAATATGTAAAAATAATTTAGAAATTAACCTCTTATTTAGTTTTCTATTTTCTTTTTCTAAGTCATGCACCTTTCTGAAATGTGAATTCATTTTAATCATATTTTTGTTTAAAGTGAGTCTGATCTTAGCAAAAACAAACCGCACAAAATAAATGCCTAACTACCTATAAGTGGTTTGGAGAATGGATGGAAAAATGCATAAATAAATATGTTAATAATGATCAGATCCTGCAATATTAGGAAACTACCGTAAGTATCCAAACTAATGTTAATAATGTTTTTAAAGATGCTAAATGGGCCGTAATGTTTCTCTGATGCCAAAAAAAAAATAAAAAAATTTTTTACCATGAGAGCACTTTTCTTAATCAGCTAAAAATTTCAGCACTCAAATAAAACATGAAGGTCAAGTCTATAATTTGTGAACTGTTTTTTGCACGGTGCATCAAAAACAAACAAAAGCACATTAACAGCATACAAATACATACAATTTAAATAGTGTAAAACTGATTGACAAAGTATTTTAGAATAATCCATGAGATTTCTTTATGATTTTTGTGGAGAAAAAAAAAATCAAGCCCATATGCAATTCTGTATGTGTGTTCTGTTGCTATGGAAAGCCGTGTGAGTGTGTGTGTGAGAGCAGTGTTTTCAGAAGGATTTGTGGGAGGGTCTGTGTGTGCACATCCCTTTTGGTTCTTGGCTCTGATAAGCCCCCTGCTTGCTTGAGTGCCTTTCCAAACCCTGAGACCGAGGAGTTATGACTATGGATGACAAGCACAGGAGCTTTCCAGCCTGAGACAGAGGAGCAGGGAGACATAGATAATAGAGGGTAAAGAGATACAAGACACGTGGGAAAGTGAAAGATGGTGGCAGTCCGAGAAGACAAAGATATAGAGCGATGTAGAAGGGGAAAGCTGGGAGAATTGCATTTTAAAGGGAAAAAAAACAGCAAAGGAATAATATTAGAGATATGAAAAAACAGAATAAGCAAGCAGCAGAGAATGGAGACATTTTATTGCACAATGCTGTGGGAATGTGCCAGTTCATGAGTGCATGCGTTACTGGTGTAAAAATTAGTAAATGTCCACTGTCCATGTACTTATTTTCTCTTCTGGGAAACATGCAAGTATCTTCTGAAGGGCAGTAAAAAAAAAAATTAAAAAAAGGTGATATTTTAAACAAAATAAGAAAAACGTACACATCTTCATCCTGTTCAAAAGTTTTCACCCCCAGATCTTAATGCATCTCGTTTCCTTCTTGAGCATCAGTAAATGGTTGAACCTTTTGTGATAGTTGCATACGAGTCCCTCAGTTGTTGTGTGAAAAGATGGATTTCAGAATCATACAGTCACTGATGGAAAGGGTTAAAATATGCAAAAGATGCTGGAAAACCAAATAATTATTGGGACCTTGTGTATTTTTCTGAAGAACAGGACAGACAAGAACAACCACCACCACAAAAAAAAAAAAACTAACAACATGGATTATCTAAATAATGAAAAACAGTGTTAAGAATCAAACGTATGTAAACTTTTGAATGGGGTCATTTTTGACCGGTCATGTCACTTACTGTCACTTTTTTGAGCTGTATTTGCATTCTGTTTTCAATTACCGTATCGATCGATTTACCTATGCTCCCTTCTCCTCCATGTTGTTAGACCTTGAGTAAATTGAATTATCTTGGCCCTACAGTGCACATTTAAACAAACACAAAATCAATTTAAAAGCAGCTTATGCTGAACACTTGACCAATGATTACAAATGACAAGCAAATTCAACGTCACAGCTGCCGTCCCCTAGAAAAGGAAAGGGGTTGTAATACTGTATATTATGTAGACTGAGACTCACTCTCAGAAATATGGAGGAAAAAAAAAAACTTCAAGGACTAGGAATAGGGGTAGGAATGATTAGGGGCCTTGAACCAGCAGAATGAACAAATAGGGCCTTGAACCAGTACTGTTACTGTTACTGTACTTACCATTGACATAAATGTGTCCAATGCAAAGAATTACTGCTAATTTTATTAAAGGGTCACACATGGTGCTGAATGCTTTTGTTCTAGTTTTCTAAGCCTGTCACATGTACACCGCTTGATATGTCATTTACTGGCATTTATTTAAATGTTATTATAGCCAGTGGTGCGCTTTGTTCTTAAATATTTTGCAAGAGCATATAGAGGTGAAATAATGTAGTGATTAAGTATTTTGCGGTCATCGATAACAAAGCTGTACATAAACGCTCTTTAGCATTGAGCGTTGCCATGGAAACAAATAATTTGAGACTAAGAATGAGAACAGCTTTGAGGAGAAGCTCAGTTGCAATCTTGTAATTACAGCAATTTTTCAAGGATGCGAACACAGCATTATTTAAATTGCTGGTCAAGTCTATGCAACATTAACATGTAAATTTAATTTGTTATTCTAAATCTTGAAACAAAAAAGTATAAATCCCGCAGACTACTTAAACCTGCAGCTTTACAAATTTATTAGCAACGGTTCAGTGCTTTCCTCAAGCCTTCTATTTTCTATTAATCAAAAATAACCCATAAATCTAAATATTAATCTAAAATAAGCCACACATATATATATATATATATATATATATATATTCAACGATTTTTCAACTCAAATTATTTTATTTTAATAACTTAGGTTTTAGTGGATACATTTTTCTGAAATCTAGCCTCAAGCTGGCCTGTGATTTGTAAACAGTCTAATGTGATGTGCAGCTTTGGCTTTTTTTTAACGTAGACAAGTGTAATCCTTCCGAAATAATGTTTTAGTCATGTAGTCATTAAGAGAATTGTCTACGGTGTAGCTCTGAAACAAGAAAGATGCGACAGGACTTACATGTAAAGACTGTTTACGGTGCATGTGCATGCTTGAGTTTGTTTATCTGCTTGAATGAGCATCAAAAATCTTGCGCACAGGAAACCCTCACTATTTATTAGTCTTGACAGCACAATTGGGAACAATTCAAAAGCAGGAGGTAAGATGCATTTCATAAGTCTCTGGCCAAATAATACCAGAAGGCTCTACAGGTTTTACAGGCCCTATCAGTCCCTGCTAGTAGATACCGTCACTACAAATCAATTACAAACATATTTTTCCATTGATATCCTCTAAAAAGTAACTGTGTATCCTGAAAAAAAAAAGAATATACAAATATATGCAGATATTGTAGATTTTTTAACAGCTGTTATTTTAAAAATATGAAATAGACCTATTTGCTTCCTTTCATGCCATAGGATAGTTGCCAGCGAGGGCTCTGGGACAGTGGTCTCCTCATATCCTTTTCTTCCAACTCCAACATAATTAGTCAATCAGGAGCAAAGATGGCAGAAAAGATTGAGTATATATATATATATATATATATATATATATAAAGATTTCTCTGAGTATACAGGTGCATCTCAATAAATTAAAATGTTGTGGAAAAGTTCATTTATTTCAGTAATTCAACTCAAATTGTGAAACTCGTGTA